AACAGTTAGAGAATGTACAATTTTGCCATTGTAATTACCTCTTACAAACAGCCTTTCCTCTTTCCTGTTTTATGTGTAATGTGTACAGCAACAACAATAAAAATAAACAAAGACATAATTAACCAATCAGCTTGTTTGGCAACAAAGAGCAAGAAAGAGTTAAGGGCTAAAATGTCTTTAAATAATGAACTATAAAAATCTTTAATCTTAGTATTTTCAGAGGTTACAGAGCCCCACACCATAAATATATGGTTGATTTACAGAGTGGTCATCAAAAACCCAGAAAGCAAATTATGTTTGACCAAAAGTATACATCAACAGTACATTAACAATATTTCATAGAGTAGGATAGGACAAACAGAACCAATTCTCTGTGGAGCCTAGCATAGTTTGCTAATGGAGCAGTCCTTAAAAGAGAAGACCATATCCAAAGTATGTTCTTTATATCAGAGCCTTTGCGTACTATCTAGTGCAGGGTGGGTGGGGCGGGAGGAGCAAAATGAAGTCTTTTCCTGAGCATTTCCAAGGTAAAACCCTACTGAGCTGGCTCCAAAATCATCTCATGGAGTAGCTTTGCCTTGAGTGGAGCTTTCATCCTTCCCTCACAACTTCTGGTGAAACAGAATAATAAAAGTTATCGCAGTAAGAGAGTCCAAAATTCCCATCTTTATAATAGTTGTATGTGATGGTGTGCCACATGTCCAACAAAGTTTATCTAGAAAATATGCCAACTTTATGGAACATGGATATGAACAAACCAGTTTTTCTTTTGCAATTTTCTTTTTCTTTAGGTCTAGAATGAAAATCTTGGCTTAATGGTGGTATTTGGCAAAGGATTCCCTGCCCTATATAAGGAGAATTATCCAACCATGATTCTAAACTTGACTAGGAATGGAAAAGGGGGTAGAAGATATGGAATACTACTTTATTCCAAAAAAATGTTGTCTTATAGTTTGAGAATGCATAAGATCACAAATGTAACAACAATTGTACAAACACCAGATCCAAAGACTATAAACATAAAGAAATGCCATACAGATACCCAAGAAGCAAATACTATCATTAATAATAATTAGTAGTAGTAGTATAGCTGTTATCATGATGAGGCACTAATAGTTCACTTGGGTGCAATGTAGAATACATTAGCTAGAAAGAACCATGGGTAAACTTATTATCTCTTTAAAAGGCAGTTTATATTTTAGGTTTATATGATATAAACTACATAATTCAAAACCACATGTAAGAAAAGAATCCAGGAAGAAGTAAAGACTCAGGCCTTTATTTCAGATTTGTGTTGTAGATATCAATCTTAAATTAATGATGGAAAGATCACTTGCTTTAAAACATGGGTATTATAGGTTATGGTAAAATATCCTTAGAGCTTTAAACTACGATAGTGGCTAGTTCCTACATATCTTTTCTTTGAATGCCTACCTCAATGTCAAACATTAGCTTCATTCCTGAACTTTGAGGACTTTTTAATTATGATAATGCCAAGTCAGGGTAAATGAGAAGCAGAAGGCTGAGAGGACCAAAAACAAACAAACAACAACAGAAAAAAAAACAGAAAGAAAGATTTTGCATTGTTTATACCATCCAGTATGGCAAATTTTACAGATGCTTTCTGTTTGCTTGGGATAGTTTATTGCTTATGTTATTTCTTTGCTTTCTCCACCCATGTGCGTGCCTCTACCAAATTTGGCTGGAAATATTTTGTGTGTGTGTCTCTACTGTAAACCTCATATTTTTCTATAGATTTAGTGTGATGCAGAAGCTCCTTTTTTTTTTTCTTCCCTAAGGGTTAGACACATCAATATTCTAGCTACTCACTTTCGAGGCCAATGGAAAATGTGTTCCTAAGATTAAATAGACCTGAGTAACACATAAATTCAGTTTATACTGATGCAGTATGTTACATAGTTATTCACATCCTGAATTTCTGATGAGTGGAATACACCTGTTGGACAACACACTGCTACTGACTGAGAGTCCCTGATCTACAATTTAAAGACAGAGGGGCAGGACAAAACCCCAACTGTAGGGTCTCTACGGAGAGCCCAACTTGCATAGAGCATTCCTCATCTGTGGAGCTCTGGCTCATAGCGGGTTCTTGAAATATTCTTAGGAAAAACTCGAGCAATACATACAGGCACATAGGAAAGGCCCTTTGTCCTGTAATACACTATCTCCCTCCACTTCCACTTCTGAAACACAGCACTTAAAAATTTTATCCAGACTATTAGTATATAATCTCTCCCTTTTCAGACTTCCTAAGTCCTCAGTTAGGAAGAAATCTTCCATTTCTACCGAGAAATCTTTAAAAATAATAAACTTCAAAATCCAGTGTTACATTTGATTGGAGTAAGTTCACCATATTTATCTACTATGGGTTGCCTGAAGCCACACTGCACTTCTAGGTAGTCAAAGACTATGTTTTCCTTTCACTCCAGATAACACATCATACATCTAATAATGAATATAATCAATGCTGCACAGATCTGGCATGCAAATTATCATCCTAAATTTAAATCAAGTAAAGAAAATGTCCCCTATCCCCAACATAACAGTTCCTCCAGGAAACCTAACCAAATCTGTAAAATGTCTCTCTAGTAAACCAAACTGCCCTTTTACTTGTAGATATGCTGAAGAATATTATGAAACACACTAACGAGATTTTATGATCAATTGTTACATTTCAGAATATATGATGAGAGTATATGCAGAAGAAAAATACTCCTAATACAATGATTACAACTATTTATCTAAATGTTTTTAACATTAAAATATTAAAAAGTCCTGATGGGCCTAAAATATTGATGGACTAAATGTTATGCTGTCTGGGGTTTGCTTCAACATACATGGTAGTAGCATTGGGAAATGATAGATCATGAGTTAATCATTGTGCAAGCTGGGTGATAGGTACATTGATGGAGTTCAATGTAGACAAATTAATGTGTTTAAATATTTTCATTATAAAAATTTAAGAAATATATACCAATTTGAACATTCATTCATTTACTCATTATTTATTGCTTGATTCTTTTACTCTTTATATGCAAGATATTGTGGAAATGTAATAAGTAAAAAAAATAAGACAAAAACCAAAACATGCTATTACTGGACATTTAGGTTAAGTAAGCTATTGCTCTTCATGGATAGTATATGTTGATTTAAAATGATATTTATAAAAACTGTGTAATTACATTTAGAATTCTTAAGTTAACTTTTGAAAGCAAGACAAAAAATGATATAGAGAGCATGATTACAGTGTGTTTTTAAAAATATGTCCTCAGGGGAAAATGAGAGTAAGGAAATAAATATATCAAATGGTTATTAATGATTGGATTTAAATTATAGAAATAATTGCTTTAATTTTTCTTCATTTTACTCTTATGTGTTTTTCCAAATTATTTTTAATGAGCATGTATCATTTTAAAATGAAAATAAATATTTATTCATTAGTGGGTAAGATGTGCTCTCCTTTCCCAAGGAGCTTTTCATCTACTAAAACAGAGAAACTGCAAACACACAGCACTGCCCTGAGAGTTTAAATCTTCATACCTAGAAGGGAAGTACACCCACAGGAAAAGAAACGTCAGTACCAAATTTATCTGATCATAGACAAAAAGGGCTTTCTGTGTGTTGGATAGAAATAGGAGTGTGAAATTCAGGTCATTTTGTGATGAGATCATTTTGCAACGAATGTAATGGTAGCCACAAATTAAAATTACCAATAAGCCTGTTTCCTGAGCTGCTAACACTTGCACTGATATGTTTCTTTTGGGGCAGTGCAGCAAGTAAGAGTGGGAGTGGGAATGTGGAGGGAGGACGAGGTACAATCCTAATGGCTTGTGGCCTTCAAGTTCAGAGAAGCAGATCAATGTGCAACACAATTAGAGACAGTAATACCGTGACAACCATGGATCCTGTGCAATGGATATGGAAAGTCCCTGTTAGAAAGCTATCTTTATTACTCCAAGATATTATTTTCCTCATTTTATGCACATTCATATAAAGTGAAGTCAAGAGTGTAACTTTTAATGGTTTGGATGAATATGATGTTCATGACTAAACAGGCCAAGCTGGAGCCAGGAGGAATTCTGTAAGATGCCAGGCAAGTCACCACTTCCCTGCTCCTCTGTGTTCAGTGTATTCACCAGTGCATTTCACTGCAGGCCAACCCCCAGCAAACTCGGCTCTTTCAGGCTCTGACTGACTACACAATGATCTACCAATATACCTTCAGTCCTGACCTGCACCCTCCTTCCAGACACTGAAATCTCCACAATTCCTGAAGACCACAAAACCAACCTTTTAGAAACTTCACAAAAAGACATAGAGACCTCAGTTTCAGACTAAGGTTCACTTGCAGCCCTGGTCTTGGTCCTTTTACTTCACTCCTAAAGGCAGGGGCAAGGGGTGTCAGTTCGGAAAGGACATGTTCCCCTGCTGCTTGTCGCTGTGCATAAATAAGAGCAGTCATGTCTGAATTTAAGATTGATCCAAATGAAGAAAGCAAAATTCACATTTGCAGCATGCCAAAGAATAATAACAGGTATTTCAAAGCATCACAAAATAGGTTTGGAGGGGTTTTGTGTTTGTTTGCTTAATGCCAAGCCATCCAATGTTCCACATGGGAAATGTCAGCACCAACTTCGCTGCATCACCCTCTCTTTCCACACAGGTGTCACCTTTGCAAAAATATACTGTATATCTTGGAAGAGTCTTCCAAACAAATCCTTTGGGTACTTGCACCTCTGTGTGGCAGAATCATTGTAAAATGTTTTTCAAAATCTGTGATAATAAGTTCTTAGGGTCATAGTTTCTCACCATTCTAAATGCTGGCATTTCAAATGAATAAACAGGATATGAAATATATACCCTCTACCAAAGTCAAAATATAATCTGCTCAAATTCTATGCTTGTGGTGGACTTGCCACACCTTTACCAGTTTTTACAATATTTTGGACGGCCATTTAGAGATAATGGAAGTGACTTACCAGGCAGCAATGTCTTGTGAGGAATACTCAGTCAGTGATGGTGAAACATCCTGAAATGAAAAGAGAATCATAAATACTAGGCATTTAATAAAGGCATGGCAACATGGTGTTCATAGAAAATAACCCATTTGCTTCTCCCTTTGGGACGCTGACTTGATGATACGATATAAAGTAAAGGATGCCTCCCTTTGAAAATGAAAATACAATTCTGCATGAGAAAGTGGCGTCTGTAACTGCCTGCATTTTAAGGGCTCCAACCGGTTGTGACTGACTTGTTGCCCATTTCTGCAATTCACTGTGACTTGTGTTGAGAAAATTATGTTTTATGGTTAATTATCCATGGTCTGTTTAAAAAAATAAATCAAACCATTGTGAACCACCAGGATTTGCAGCTCCATTTGAACTTTACTGTACTTTTGGTTAAACATTTTATAAATAACAACAAACTGGTTTTTCCTTGTTTTTGGTTGTTTGTTACTTGTGTTCTGGATATAAATATTGTGGCAGTGGTTGGAGAACAAACTATGGATTATTTACCCCTTGCTTCATGAGTTGTTTGTTACTGGTCTTATACTCCTTCATGAGTAAATGTATAGTATTATATTCCTAGGCCTGTAACACAAAAGGAATAAGTGAACTGAAACCTTTTTAAACCAAAACCTTTTATGCTAAGTCACAGAGCAACAAAACAAACCCCAAATTAACATTTAAAAAGCTTCTACTGTGGAGCAACAAAATCCTCAAATATTATATAATCTGCATTTTAAAAATTGCCTGCCTAACAAGCAGCAGTATGTCAATAACTCCACATGCTTGTCTTTTCACTGTTGTATAATTTAGAAGCCATAGGTGGTTCTTACCAGAGATCACCTCCCACCCCCAACATCACTACCAGAATGAAGCCTTGATAATAACCAGCATAACTAATTTAAGCCAAAATTGACTCATAAAGATCAGGAATTATTGTGCTATAAGTAATGAAACACTATATGAAAGAAGAATTCCATATGAAATTTGTCTCTAGTCTTCACTCTAGGACCTATATAAATAAAAAGTCTAAAATATAAGTGACCAGAGAAAATGAGAAAAGCCAAGATTCAAAGGACCCTGTGGCAGAATGCAAAGGGAATTATTTGAGACCCAGAACCATAAGTCCCTAATACATCTGCATATGAAACTTAATGAAGATCACCAAAGTAGCTTGCCAAAAATTATGCCTTTTAAATGATCCAATGGTCTATGCAGCACAGAGGACCTCTACAAAAAATATAAAATTACCTTCTGCAATTTGCTACTTTTACAAAGACAGAGACAGGACAATAAGGGCTTTCTTATAAAACGATCTGTCCATTTCTGAAGCTTAAAGAGCTCTGTATTCTCTTTCATCTTACCCCTGGGTTACTCATATGGCTTACTGCTTACCTGCATAAGCACTAGGAGGGAAGGGACCAGCTCACCAAAACATGGTAAAATATCTGTGAAGCAGCTACTATGTGCCAGGCACAACTAGAGTGATTCTGTTTGAGAGGGTGAGTCAGTGACTGAGGTTCTTGTTGCAATATTTAAAAGTATCTATTACTACTGCCAACAGCAACTCGAAGCAAGGTTGAAATAGTTGTGAAGGACTTTTGAAAGATTGGAAAATACTTAAAACTCTCCCTAAAGTCTTGCATGTCCAGGAAATAGTCTAGGCCTGCCAGTCCTTCCTAAGCCTGGATCCCAAAGTGCAAATGAAAAAACACAAGTAGCCTATATGTTCCCAGGGCCATGGTTACAACTGAAAATGGGGGCTGAACTGCATTTGCTGTCCCCCATTGGATATTGAAAGGCCAGTTTTGTCCTGACGATGGTTCAGAGAGACTAAAAATCCACCAAGATGAAAATGGAAGCTATTTAGACAAACTGGGACAGGAAAAAATGTTCAAAGATGTTTGACTCAAAGACATTTTCTCTATTCTTTCATAACCAGATAGCTCCACCTATTTTTGACAACCAAGAAAATACTACTGTATAGAGTTCTAAGTTTTCTTTTAAATCCAGGCAACCCATTTTAAAGCCAGGGTACTCTAAATGACTTCCTATGTACAGAATGATACATCTAAATATAAGTGCTTGGTTACAGATGATGAAACATGTTAAAATTATATTATAGAGAATACATTTTACATGGTTTAGAATTTATTTTGATAATCAGGAACATACATACAAAATTGCAATTTGGAATCCAAATTTAGCTATAATCCATGTAGAGGAATACTTAGAGAAAATATACCTGAGAATATAATTTCCTGGTTAAAGACTAAAATATTCTAACCAATTTTCATTATTTTTCCAGAGACAAACTTTTCTGAGCTATAGATTCTTTTAAGGAAGAAAAGCAGAAATAAAATGTGTTTATAAAATACTTGAAAGATATAACAGCCGAGTGATTATTCATATTTAAGATAACAAAAGATGTCTCCATGTCATCAGAAATACAGAGACATGATAATCCCAAGGGTCTTGATCTGGAAGTTGTTAACAGAGAGCCACACATTCAGATAGTAAAACCTGAAACACCTGAAAAAACTCTCCTGGATTTGATTTTTATCTTTATGCACCAGATTTTCCCATACAAAGGAACCCTAAATTCTAACACATAAGAGAACGTTAAACAAACTAGGAAAGAACCTGACTTTTTTTTTTAAGTAAAGAAAAACGATCTCTTACCTTCCATAAAATCAAATAAGCCAATTTCATTGGACATTACCATCCAGAAGTAAAGTATGACCTAAAGGAATGATACTGAACCCAAATACAAGGAGGTGAAGCATCTCAGTAGTTCCTACTCAGATCCATCCTCTCTCCTGTGCACTTTCATCTTCCCTGACTGCATTGTGAACAATCAGAACTACCACCACCACCACCACCACCATGACCACCACCACTCATACACTGTATCTAACTTTCTTCTAGCAGATGCCTCGTAATGCCTAGTGCTGTGCTTTTGATAATTTTGTATCCATTTTATAACCATTCAGAACTAAAAAGGAAGAACAAAACAAAACAAAATAAAAAATTCCTCCAACCTCCCTTGGTTCCCAGAGGACATCAGTTAAGCGAAACAAAATATTAAACCTGAGAAGGAAGACTGATCAATCTCATGGTGTTCCTATTTAAACTGGGAAGGGAGTTGCTTCAATGAAAAAGTTGGGGGTGTGGGAAAGGAGTAAAGAGCTACAAAGGGAGAGAGAGAGATAACAATGTTTATTATACATAGGGGACTTAAAGGAAGCACAATAAATCAAACGGTGTTCCAGGGAATCGTGTGACAGAAAGTTCTAAATGAGAACTCCAGAAACTACAGTCTCTTCAACTGAACTACTGCTTAGGGGATGGAGTCTATAGGAAGTTTGAAGCAAGTGTCTCTATAGCTTCTAGATGTTTTCTCTTTAATTATGACTTTGGGTTTGAATATACTTTGTCAGGAGGAAAAACAAATCAAAATATTAGAGCTTTATACAGCCCCCAAAGACAGGGTTTATATAACCGGAGTTTTTACATAAATGTTACATCAGGATACATTTCAAATGAAAACACATACACACACACAGCTGTCTTCCTTATCCTCTTTCTATTTTAAAATTCATTTCATATTTTACATGATGTTGATTTTTCATAAAATAAGTAAAAACTAAGTCAGCATTAAACACCTCAGAATAATTTTAGTCTTATATGACCTGGAAAATGTACCATGTCATGGAGGGTCACAAACGCCTGTTTTGAAGCCAGTGAAGGCACTGGCAATTATGGGATGTTTTGCTGCAGCCTAGGGCAACTAGAAATGGCCATGGATATTAACTAACTCCCTTTCAACAGTCTGAGAAAAGGAGGAAAAAAACCTGTAAGTTTTCCCATCTGTTATTTCCTTTTTTTTTCCTTTTTGGCTGTGAAAAAGTAAAATTATGCAAGAGCGTTTGAATGTAAAGGCTGTGTGTGCTTTTTCCCTTTTTGTCTCTGGGTACTGGTTATGTGATGTTTTGTAACTGAGTGCAGAGTAGGCGGTTAGCGTTTACTACTGATTTACACTATGCCATCTAATGAATCCAGAACACTGAAAAGAAAGGAGTGGGAGGGGGAAGGAGGAAAAAGAAGAAAGAGAAAAACATGGAGAGGAAAAAGGAAGAACAGAGGGGAGAGAGAAAGAGCTCATTTGTAGAAACAATTCTAATGCCTGGAATAGTTTCATTCATTCCCTTTAGCTCTGATTTCTTGGTAATGTTCAGGCCTCAGATAAATGGGCTTGAGCCAGTGACCCCAATATTCCAATCTTATATCTAATGAGGATTATTGGCAGGTGAATGTCTGAAAATACTAATGTGTCAAATTACTTGATAGTAACTCCACTAACCTGTCAGACTTCTCCATATAATCATCTCTCTATACATTTATAAATGTGTACCTGTAAGAGCCAATGCTATGGTCCAACTAGTTCACCAAGTCACAATTATTATTTTTCAAGGCACACATCAGGGAAAAGAACAATATGCCCTATTTTACCCATCTCCTTTAAAAATGCACAAAGAATTAATCTAGAAATATTTGAATATGTCACTATTTTACCTTGAAAGAAGAAATGCCACAAATTATTTCTTTACACAGAACAGCCCAATATAAGATAATGATAGAGAAAATTGGGAAAGATTCTAAACTAATAAACAATATTTGTAAGAGAACTTTAAATAACTTCTTAAATTATGCTTATGGAGAACACTTAAATCTTAACTTTATATCTGGGTGATTATAGACATTTCCAGTTCCCTAAGGCAGCTCAGTGCTTTCCATGCCATGTACCCAGTTCCACAGGTCAAGTTGATTCTGCTGCTGTGCACAGGACCTTCCTGTACCCGAGTGCCCTCCTATGGCTGAAAACAACCACTGAGATGAGCAAGAGAAATAGGAGTTATTAGCATCCAGCTAGAGAGCAAGACAGGGAGCTTGTTTCCTTCCCAGGTGTGGGTTTGTAAAATGGTGGCTGATAAAATCACAGGAGGTCAGTTACAAGAAAGAA